GTTCATCATTCTGGTTTCTCCAAGGCCAAAGATCCATAGTTGTCCATCTGAGGGGCAGGTATCTAAAAAAAATTAACCATGTTTATTATTATTGATATTTTTCTTTTTTACTGTCAGTTTAATGTTTTTCCTTTTTGCACCAATTTTGTTAACATGAATATTGTGGTTGAAATGACCTTTTTAAAACCATCTGAAAACCACGAGACAAATGTTTAGGGTTAAACAAATGGTGGAACAGTTTTTTTTATTTCTGTCTCCCTGGAAGAGGCTTTATGTCTGCTGGGTTTTTTTCAGTTTTGACAAGGTGAAGCTTCACTCCCTGGTTACAGAGAGGTGTTATCCTGTAAGTTCCTGCCCTGAAAGTTGCAACGTTTTTTTTAAACGCTCAGTCTCGTGTCTTCATTTTCTTCCACTGCTCTGTGTTCAGGAAATGATATGGAACAACCGTTACAAGACCATCCGCTGGAGATTTGTTGAGTCTCTGGAACCTCCCCGAGTGGTTCACGTTCGCTGCACTGACATGGTCTCTAAAGATAACTTATACGGGCAGGTGACGGTCCGAATGCACTCCAGACAGGTGAGACATCTAAACCTGCACCATGCTCAGTAAAACCTGAACAGATTGTAATGATTTAAGCAGGTATTATATTTTTAAAACTATTGTAAAAAAAGAAAAAGAAGCAGAAAACTACACTGTTTTGGATTTTGTGGTTAAAATCATATGATGTCGATCGCTGGATGAACACCTGATCAATTTGCAGATTCTGGCCATCTATGACCGCTTTGGGAGACTGATGCTGGGCGGCGAGGACCAGCCAAAGGATGTCTTGGAGTACGTGGTCATAGAGCGGCAACTTCACAACCCCTACGGCAGTTGGAGGCTACATGGGAAAATTGTGCCTTCCTGGGCACCAGCTAAAGAACCAATTATTAAGGTGAGCCTCTACTAGAAACAGAAGTAGCCTTTATTGTTCCAGAGCAGAAATTCAGGTCCAACAGCAGCACCAGATACAGAGGTTCACACAACAAGTTCCAAAAGTGTTAAAAAATATAAAAAAACAAGATGAACAATAACAATACAATGTACAAGATTATAGCCAGAGGACACTGTGCAGCACTGACTGAGCTTTTAGTCAGAAATAGGAAGACTCAGGTTTTTTGCATAACCAGGAGAAAAACAAATCCTATTTTAAAGGAGACCAATTATGGGTCCTAGAAATGTTTATGGTATGTCTGTGGGCTATCCAGACCATGTTCATTCAATTTAATGCACAAAATAATTCTCAGATAATAAAATTTCCCATTTTCTAGTTCTGCCTGCTCTGACTTCTGTTCAGAAGAGCTGTTTATGTTAATGAGCTCTGTTGGTAACGCCCTCCAAAAATCTGTTGACATTAAGCCAGTGTTTACGTTAGCATGGCTAATAATAGTAGAAGCTCCGTTGTACAACCGTATGAGACCCAGAGGCAGAGTAGGTC